GTAAGTAAGTAAGTAAGTAAGTAGTAGTAGTAGTAGTAAGTAGTAAGTAGTAGTAGTAGTAGAGTAGAGAGAGAGAGAGAAGAGAGAAGAGAGAGAGAGAGAGGTTGTTGGGGGCAGTCACATTAGGGTTTACACAGCCTCCATGCCCCTCTTATCTTTACTTATTTTTAATAACTTATGTATAAAAGATAGTAATTCCCTTAAATATTGTACAAATGTCCTAAGGTATTAAAACAGGACGAAAGTACCCTATTGGCCCATAAACAAGACATAGTATGTTAGATGGCCCAAAAGTTAAAGTGGAAGATCGATGGATGAATAAACATGGGCACTTAAAAATAAAAAAGTTACAAATGGTTCATTCTGGGATTTTTGTTGCATTAATTGTGCTTTTGGAATATAATACCTGTATAAAATTATAGGAAAGTTGCCATTTTCCCAAATTTTATAAATTTTTATTTAAATTATATCTCTTGTGTGAATGTCAATTCCGACATAGGGTACTTTTAGTACAAGGTGATCCCCTATTCCCACACTCATTTCTTCACTCGGCAACTATGGTTTGTAGTTTGTCAGATATATGTGCCAACATACATGAACTCATAGAGATTGACTGGATGCTATTAGTACATAAATCAGTTTGCTCCATTGCTTGTTCCTTTTGTTGTTTGTAATGAGACGTGTTTCTAGCATAGAGATGTGTTGTTTTTAGATTTTATATTTGTTGCTCAGTTTAATTTGTTTATATTGATAATTTTATTATATTTTTTCCACTTTGCAGGTTTCTTTCCTTCTTCTCCAACAGAGCTAAAACCCAAGATGCTGATGATGTTTATGCTGCTTTAGCTTTGATGTATGGATATGCAGCGAGATATGCACCATCTACTATCATAGAAGCCCGAATCGATGCACTTGTGGTATAAATTGGGCTTTCTATCTTAACTTGCTTGCCTGATCTATAATTTGTAAAAATTTTCTTTTCATCAACCTGCTAGAATTGTTTTATTTTTTTATAAGTTTACAATATTTGTTATATTTTATCTTTCTAGTTTACATGAATTTTTTGCATAATAATTGTACTGACGTGTTGGGACATCTTGAGGGTTTGGGCCGAGGCGTTCGACACCTTGATAGGATCATCTGTCTCAGTTGTCTATGTAACTTGTGTTGTACCGTTTAAATTTCTTTTGTTCTCAGTAGTAACCTTGAATTTATCTTATAATGAATTATCAAAATGGATGGTCTCTATCTTTATTTAAAATCGTAGTTAGGTTCATTCGCTATTTCTTAAAGTTCCTCATCTCTTCTTTCTACATTTTTTTCTTCCACTAATAGAACTTTTTGAATGCTTTTAGTAATATACCCCAAACCTTTTGCAGGAGTTCCATGTAATCCTGATTTTGTGGGCTTTTAGAAGTAGTCTTATATGTTTAAAATCTTTAAGTAAAAGAAATTCCATCGATTTGGGATCTTTCTCTTGTATAATGAAGAAGTATTTTAATCAATAATTTTCTCTATTTCCAACTAAAAGAATCATGTCTATAAATTCCTGGAATGTATATTTCAGGATTTTTACAAATATCACTTGGTTTTTGATCTTGCTTGCCATCGTGCTACTTACCTTTGTGAATCTCTTCTTGTTTTTGACTTGGATGTGGAGAGTGCCTAGGAACCCATGTCTCTTACAATGCCCTTAGTACTGCAGCTTCATAAAACAGTAGATGTAGCAGACAGTACACTGGCCTCTTAGTTGTTCTACAAAAAAATGTGGCGAACATAGGCAATTTTCGCTTTATATCTTACATATTTCACACAACTTTTGATATAGTAAAGTGGTTTTGGATATGACAAGAACATGCACATTTGACAAGAACAACTCTTGATACATACTTTTCGGATGAGTGGACTTTTGCGAGGAGTTTTAACTGTCCAAATGGGAAAGTTAACAAGGTTTCATTCCTTCCATTCCATTTAAGACTCATGACTCGGTTAGAAGTCATGGTTTATTGCCATTTCCTTGTCTTTTGAGCTAGGTTTGTGATGGGCTTTTTATTGCAATAAAATGCAATACATGTTAGCCACTCTTTGAAATGCTACTCCATTCCTGTTAATATAGAAATGGAAAGATCCATTGGGCTGTTTCCTTTTCTATTATTCTCTTTGCATTTTGATGCTGAGCCCGTCATGTCCCATCTCTCTATGGAGTCAATTCACTGGAAACGGGAGGGCGCCGTACGAGTTCAATCCCACCTTGTTATCTCGGACATTTCTCTATTTATGGTAGGGGAAGGCAATAGCCTTCTCTCGTTCCCCTCTGCCTGATCGGAGTCGAGCGCATTCCTTATTTGCAGTATGCATTAAAATTTTCTTTTCTGATTGCTTTACTTTATCACTTGGGCTGGTATTGAAACTAGATAGTTTGCCTGTAGGTCAAACTACATCATCGCCAACACCTATTTTTATGTAGATGTTCAAGCCATCCCCTCTTATTTACTGATTAGGTTTATTGTATTGCTGATTATTTTACAGGGAACAAACATGCTTTCTCGTCTTCTTCATGTACGACAACCTGCTGCAAAGCAAGCTGTTATTACTGCCATTGATTTGTTAGGTACATTTATCCTTTTTATGTGGATAATGACTATGTTAAAATGCAATATATATGAAATGCTTCAGAAATCACCAGATTATGGCCATAGTATATGCTACTGACATTTTAGGGCAATTTTGATTTTGAAAGTTCTCATTTTTCTGCAATCTTTTTTCTACTTGTTTCTTGCATGTTATTATTGATAGATTGTCTAAACTCATTTTAAAGGTAGATTGCACAATAAATTGATCATATATGCCCTTGGCAGTTTCATGGGGGCTATTACGGTGCCATTCTTTAAGGAAGGTTACTAACAGGAGGTGTTAAACATAAACATTTTTAGTTGGAATTACACCTAGGTTCAATTTGGTGTCTTGAGTTTGTATGGTGTATGCTGTCAATTAGGCCATTTATCTTCTTGTGTGTCCATGTTTAATGTCCTTCATCTCACTTTAATTTTGTGGTGCTCCGTTTTTTAAGTATTGAATCTTGCACCTGGAAAACAGAAGCTTCATTTCCTTGGAATGAAAATTAGAAGCCAAAGTGCAGCTTTTGCAAAGGTTGCATCACATGTTTTGCCCTGTGACACTTATATGTGAAGCCTCAATGCTCGTTATTTGTGCGAAATCACACCCTTTGGACATGCTGGTTTTGGATAGTAACTGGTCCTGTCTCTACTTTCTTCCCCGACCTATTATGTTACTTGTACTGTTCCTGTTTTCATCAAAAAATTTGGGAGATGCTATTGGACTTGTCAGGGTATTTATAATAAAATCCACTCTCTATGCCTTTAAAATGACAATGTCTTCTACAACAGTGTTTTGGATTGAGTTTCCGTTTTTGAAGCATTTTAGCTTCATTTCGAAGATTTGAATTTCATTACTTTCCATTTATAACCAGGCTATATTTAATTACATAATTAGCAATAGTCCCATGTGAAAGTACATAGTATGTGAAATTTTTCTTTTTTAGCCTCTCTAACTGAAGATTGCAGCACAAATTACAGAGAAAGTACAATATACCTGTGTAATGTTGTATGCTGTACTCATTTCAGGTCGTGCAGTTATACATGCTGCTGAAGGAGGGATCTCCTTCCCATTGAAAAGGCGAGATCAAATGCTGGATTACATACTAACTTTGATGGGTAGAGATGAATACGATGGTGCGGTTGATTTAAGTCTTGAACTGCTCCATACGCAGGCTAGCATTCTGCACCAATAACTGTAGTTGATATATACTTGATTTTAGATTCATATTAATGGTGAAATATTTTTTGCATAACAATTTTTTTGGTTTACTTTGTTGTTGTACACTGAAAGCAGTCCATGACTGTTCCTGCTAATATGTTTGCAGACCCTTGCTTTGAGTGCATGCACTACCTTGGTTTCTGTGGAGCCAAAGCTTACAATAGAAACAAGAAATCTTATACTGAAGGTATGTCTTGTAAAGCATGTCTCATGTCTCATGACTTCATGTTTGTCAAAAATTTTTCCTGACACTACTAAAATTTGGCATTAACAGGCAACCTTATGTTTCTTTGCATTGCCAAATGATCCACCAGATGTCGTTGATCCACTCATAAAGAACCTTATAACACTTCTTTGTGCCATTCTTCTAACAAGGTATCTATTGGTTAACATTTGACCCTTGCATTTGCTTCCAGAAAAGTACGCCAAATACATAATGCATTGGCCATTGTTAACTTGTTCTAGCTGGAGGTAATGGATGTATATGATACATTTGATAGCAGTACCTCTATTTTGTTATTTTTGAGCTGCTTTTTAAGTACCTCTTGTCAAAGCAGGCAACTTTTTTGTTCTTTTCTAGACTGTAGGAGATGACATTCTTCCAAAACATTTATCTTTTTGATGTGACCACCAGTCCCATGAGTAAATCATAATATTCTTTGCATGCTACATCTTTCTGAAAAAAACATAACTGGGAAATTAACAGATATTGGATAAATGGGCTCAAACATGTAAAAATATTTCTTATAATTCCTGGAGTACCTTTATCTTCTTCTTTTTTTCTTTTTTTTTTTTTTGGATAATGTTCACTTGTATTGAATTTTGTCAAAATTTTATGGAAATGAGGCAGCGCATTAGACAGGGTGCCCTATACAATAGCCCCAAAGGGGCCAAAAAATGCTTTACAGCAACTGAAAATAGTGGGGAGAAGCGCTTGATGTTTGCCTGGGTCCCCTAAATGGGGTTAGAGTTGTCTCCCTCCCTAGCCAAAATGTCGGCTGCAGTATTGGCTTCCCTAAAGCTATGATTCCACGAGACTTGTAGATTCTTGGAAATTTGCGAAATCTCCTCAAAAATGTGATCGAGTCTCCATGGGCAAGATGAAGGGTTGGAAGTCCAAGCTATTACATTTCTTGAGTCCCCTTCCACCCATAGCACATGACTCCAAAAGGGGTTAAACTTGCGAAGGTCCTCTAGTAGGGCAAGAGCCTCAGCAAGAGTTGAGTCGGCTATGCCAATAGGATGTGAGAAGGTTAATAGCGTACTTCCATCGTGAGATCTGAATAAGCCCCCGATGTTGGAGGGTCCAAGGTTGCCAAGGGGAGCAACCATCAAAATTTAGCTTGGTGCAACCCATCTCCTGCTGTCTCCAAAGAGACGCTCGTGAGATCCGAGGGGTTGACAATGTCAACAAGGAGTGCCAGTTGCTATGAAGATTGGCGTAGGCGTAGTCTTTGAAAAGCTTGTGATTCTTGGCCCAAAAAGAGACTGACCTGCAAACCTTGTCTATCATAGTAGCGACTGAGGTCCTCTTTCTTTTGAAGGTTATGTTGTTTCTTTTGGTCCATATTTTACCCAAACAGTAACTTCCACTGAGGCTCTCCAAAGGACTCGACCTGCCTTGGCAAGGGAGGGGAGAGAAAAGCCTCGAACAAGTGTGGAATAGAACGAGATGTGACCTAATACCATTGTAAAAGTTGAAATATATCGCTCCATAGCTCATTGGCCACTTCACAATGGATAAATAGTTGTTCATTAGTTTGTTCGGCTGCCATGCACATGATACAGGGACAAGAGAGACCCTTCCTTTGGATTTGGTCAATGGTTAATACTCTCTCATAGAGAGCAATCCAGCCAAGGACCTGTATTCCACAGAGGGATGAAGGGGAAACCGGCCTTGAAAGCAAGGACGGGGAGGGGAGAAGCAGGGTTGGGGGAGGAGAGAAGGTTTGGACGAAGGAAGACACAGAATGTATTGGAGGCAGAAGGTGCCCACCATGAGTGCCCCATCAAGGATCTGGCGATTCTTGACAAAAGCTGTCTGAGTAGGGGAAATTACCCAATTGAGGACAGCCTTGAGTCCAGAGGCCAAGACTTTGGAAAGTAATTTGTAAGAACTATTGACTAGGCTGCTGATGAATATGAAATCTTTTAGTTTTCAATCTTTGGGATAAAAGGCTATAAAGGTGGCATTCATGGCTCTGTTAACCACTCCTCTGGAATGGTACTCAGAGAAAAAGTTGAGAATATCAGGCCGGAGCACATCCCAAAAGGATTTGAAGAAAGCCACAGGTTAACCATCCGGACTTAGAGCTCGGTCGGGGCTGAGGTCTTTGATGGTGCTGAGAATATCGTCCTCTAAAAAAGGAAGTCCCAACCAGCCAGACCGTTCCGGGGGAAGGATAAGGGATATGTCGTCCAGGGTAGGTCTCACCCTAGACTGGGAGGAAAATAGGCGAGCAAGAATTGAACTGCAGCCTGTTCGATGAGCGAAGGTTGATCTAGGATAATGCTGTCCGCTCTTTGTTAAGTAAGCTATTTGTAAATGACATCCACAACTATTTTTTTAAACTAAATGGGATTTATATTTTTTTCTAAATGTGTTTTATGATGATAGATGTCCGCTTTTATTTTTTTATTGTTATTTCTCCTACAATATAAGTTCTTTACTCGATGAAGTTCCCAGTCTACATTTAGGGTTGACTATGAAGTACCTTTAATTTTTGAAAGGTCATGAATTTCTGTATGATTTGTAGATCTAGATTTCTGATCTTTTAAATATTCGTTTTGATAGTCGTAGGGAATGTGTTATCTGTTACCTTTTCTTGGAACCATTCACCTGGCTTCCTTTCCCTATATGCCACAACTGAATAATGTTACTGGATGTAAAAGACACTTGTTGAATGTTACTAGGTCTATTTTTTGGGTGACTTTGACAAAACTCAGAATCTTCCTTTCTGATGTTGATTTGACTGCTTCCTATTCTATCAAATGTATGTTTATCATATGTACCTTAGGCTTTGGCCTGGTGATAAACATGCCCAGGCTAAGGTTCGACCCTTAAGGTTTGTCCTGAGAAAACAAAGCAAGCTGACCTATCATTTTCTGTCTGATATGTTATGTGGTAATCCAGCCTCACGTGTTCCTATATCATGAAATTCATGAGTTTAGTCACTTCCTTTTGATTGCTTTGTTTTGTTTAATGTTCAGTAACATGCTGAAGTAAAGTTGCTCAGGAGGGCTCTGTTCAATTATTTTTTCTTGGTTTGGTTGGTACTACTAAGGCGTACAATTGTTATGATCCTAAACTAAAGGGGCCACCTGTTTGAGAATGTCCTACTCATTTCTTGTTCCTATACTTTTTTGTCGCCTGGCTAAGTGATGTACTACACTACCCAAATTTTGAGAAAACGAGCCATCCTGTTTTTAGCATTCTTAAATGTATTATGGGCTGAATATGACACCAATTTGTTTCTATTTCTACATTCTACTCAAAATGACTACTTATTTTGCTTGCTCAATCTCAAGTAATATCACGCTTTTTTGGTAAGAAAGTGTATGAAAGTTTCTGTTGTAGCAGTGAAAAGTATTGATTTCCTTTCTACTCATGCATAATTTATTTATTGATTTTTACTTCGTATTGTTTAGTGGAGATGACGGGAGAAGCAGAGGAGAACAACTTTTGCATATAATGAGGAGTGTTGATCAGTATGTTTCCTCTGCCGTGGACCATCAACGGGCTAGAGGATGCCTTGCAGTTTATGAACTGCTGGTTAAATTCCGTACCCTTTGTTCAAGTGGGTATTGTGTTCTTGGATGCTCTGGAAGCTGCATGCACTTGCATCAAATTACAGAGAGGATTGCCTCAAGAAACTCGTCTAGTTTAACATGTAAGTTTTGGCTAATCTCTCTTTGCATCACCAAAATAACAAGAAACTAATTTCTCTTCTGAATCCAGCAACATTCTTGTTGCCAACCCGAGACTCGTTGTACCTGGGAGAAAGGACCATTGTCTATCTTCCTCGCTGTGCAGATACTAGCTCCGAAGTTAGAAAGATTTCTGCCCAGGTTTGGATAATCTTGGTCTAGTAGTATAAACTGTGACTTTCTTCTGAACTGATGGTTTTTTTTTTTGAAGTCACGATTCTCATCTGTTATTTCAATTCTGTGTTGGTTTGTAAATACTTCAGTGGGAGTGCTCCTTTAATCTTGGTCGATTGCTTGATTCTTAGTTGATTTCTGCAGATTCTTGATCTATTTTTCACTATAGCTTTATCACTTCCTAGGCCGGTTGGGTCCCCTCTTAGTGAACACATAGAGCAGTCGTACAGTGCGTTGTCTGCACTTGGAGATGTCATTGCGATTCTCAAGAGTGTGAGTGTCATTCTAAAATGATATTTGAGCACAGTTTGTTTTTTTATCGTGAACAATAAAGACTAAAATTTGTGATGTCTATATTAATGGTAGGATGCATCGATTGACCCATCAGAGATCTTCAACAGAATTGTCTCCTCTGTTTGTGTTCTTCTAGCAAAAGAAGAGGTGAGATTCTTTTTCTTCTTGTCAGAGCCAGTTGTTTTTAATTCCTTTATTTAAAAATTATGTCTGAGCATGTCTTTTATTATTTTATATCCATAAACAGCTTGCTGTTATATTGCATGGATGCACGATCTCTATCTGCGACAAAGTCAAACTATCCGCAGAAGGCTCTGTTGGGGCTATAATGGAGTTCATTTTGAAAAGAGGCAATGAGCTAAATGAAAATGATGTTTCAAGGTGCATTCAGGGATTTGAATGTGTTTGCTTTTTCCTGGGATTCGAAAAGAAGCTTTTTGACAAGTCATCTGATTATAATGCAACTGACTTGTTCCATCGGTGTCAATGTTTACAGGACAACACAATCTTTAATTTCTGCTACAATATATGTTACAGATAAGCATTTGCGCCAAGAAGTCCTTGCTGCTGTATCCTTTCCGTTATTTTTCTTTTAAAAGATTTATAGGGGACCGTGACCCATATATGATATGCAGCTACCTCCGAAGCCCATAATGACAAGCAGGCAAATTCAGGGTTATTTTTATTTAATTTTATTTATTCTTTTGTGATCATTCTTGCCTTCCCTGTCCTGTTTGAGAGAAAGAGTACAGAGAAGGGTGATATGGTCTTTAATAAAGTTTGATCTTTCCAGGTCACTACTAAAAATGATGGAATCGAGTTCAGCTGCATGTTATTTGCGAGTTCTCCTTAACTTTTCTCTTATGTTATGAAATGCTAAACAAATCATAAATAGTTTCTCACTATTTTTTGAGTAAAGTTCACTGTAAATAGTGTCTTGCTATTCATTCTGCTGGTAATGGTTTTAGACCAACCATGGACACAATCTTTGTTATATGAGTTGTTATTTCCTGAATTGTGAAAAGATATGTTGCCTGGCCGAGCAAACAAATCCAAAAGTTGTTTTTTTCGAGGTACTAATTGCAGCTGAGAGGGATATAGTTACAAAGGACATATCTTGGTTGCGAGGTGGCTGGCCAATGCAAGATGCCTTTTATGTGAGTACCATTTTCAAAATTTTGCATTTGATTTATTGGCTTTATATTGTTTTTCCTCTTACGAGGATTTTGATTTTCTAGGCTATGATTGATGATGATTTCTATTAGAAACTGGATATGGAGTGTATAGAATATGCATGTATAAAAATCATTGTTTGCCAACGTGAGCGAGATGCCTCAGACTTGCCCAAGTTGTCCGGGTGGGGGTATATATAATACTCTGAAGGGTATCCTAGAGACTTGCCTTTCTAATGAAAAACTTGGGCTGACATTGGTGGGGTTTCCATGGAATAGGCGGGTCCATACAGTAATCACCCAGGTATTTGATGCAGGAGAACTTGAAGAAACATAGAAAAATTGACAATTAGCACCTTGACATAAATAATTTTGGAGAAACCATGTGGCTCTCTCTCAAATAGGGCTCAACCCTTAGGCTTCTTTCACATGACAGAGTCTTTTCTTTTCTTTAAATAGGAATACGTGAATGACTCTCCAACCCATCCATGCCCTTATTTATAATGAAAACTTATTGTTTTGGACAATATTTGTCCATAAAATGATTAGAATGTTCTGTAAATAGTACTCATGAATAGTACTTGTGACTAGTTCCTATGAAACAAACAAAAAACATATAAAAACCCTAGAATCCCTAAAAAACTGAAAGCCTTTGAAATAAGCCCTAAAAGCATACTATGATATACATCATTTAAAGTTGAATAAAAATAAAGAATAGGAACAATTTTTCCCTCTATCATTCTCCCTTGGTAGGAGAAAACTCGTCCTCGAGTTTTGAAGTTTGCTAAGATGAATTCAGCAGCAAAAACACCTTCTTCAACCTTTTTTGTTGTTGGCTAAAATATTATTCGTGGTAAAGATAATTCATCGAGAAACGGATCTTGATATGTATATTGAGGAATTAGGGCCACAATTTACAAATCTGAACCGAACATGCTTCTACTGCACTAATCTGATTCCATTACCCTGAATTTCTTAAATGCTCTATCTCTTCAATATTAACGACATCTTCAATGGTCATGATTTGAGTCAGTCCTCCTATTGCCTTCTTTCCATATTCATCACCCTCTTTCAAAATATCTTCACCATCATCTTGATCCTTATCATAGATCAGATCTCCCAAGAAATCTCGTTGTTCATCTGAGTATACATCAAAGATTGGTGGTGAATCCCAATCTACAATTTGCTGAATTTCGATGCAATCGGTGTCAAAATAAAAAATTTCACTCTTCCAATCGAAAACCCTAGAGTAACGCACCCTATGTCTAGATCTCCGATCATTATTCTCATCACTCAACTCCACACGCGGAAAGTGAAAGTAAAAAGGCTTGTACTCGATATCCTCTTGGGCCGAAAGATCATCGTCTTACCCATGTTTAGGCTTGTGAACTACTGCACCAGCTGTTGTACTTGGCTTTCAAGTTCCTCAATTCTGTCTTCTATGGGATCACGGAGTGGATATACAGAAACCCCCTTCTACGGCCCCTGCTCGCTGCTATAGGTTCCTCGAAGTCACAAACCCTAAGCAAGTAATCTACAAAAATTGTTGAAATCAGCGAGAACTAGGTTGTTTTGGCAAAACTTTGGCCAAAATCCGCAAATCCTAAACCCCACTATAACTTGCCCTCTTTGTTGTTGACCTAGGGTACCAAAAAAATGGTGCTACAGTAACTCCGTACTTGCTACAATAACTTATGTGTAGATCGCGAGCTCTGATACTACTTGATGCAGAAGAACTTGAAGAAATATAGAAAAATCCACAATAAGCACCTTGACACAAGCAATTTGGAGACACTTTAAGGCTTTCTCCTACCTAGTGCTCAACCATTAGGTTTCTTTTACAAGACAGTCTTTTCTTTTCTTTTCTTTAAAGAGAAATGCGTGAATGACTCTCTAGTCCATCCATGTTGTTATTTATAATGGAAAATTATTGTTTTGGATAATATTTGTCCACATAATGATTAGAATGATCTATATATTCGAACTTATTGTAATGACAAAATTACCCCCATGAATAGTACTCACGAATAGTACTTGTGAATAGTTCCCATGAGATAAACAAAAAATATAAAAACCCTAGAATACCTAAAAAACTAAAAATCTTATAAATAAGCACTAAAAACAAACTATAATATACATCTTTTAAAGTTGAAAAAAAATAAAGAATAAGAACAAATTTTCCCTCCATCAGCATTGTAAGTGGAATATATAAGGGGGCGAAAATCCAACCCCCTTGTTCATTTTTCACCCTAGGGTGACCGAGTTGAGCCCAAAATTTGGCCATAGACTCCTTTTTGCATAACCTATCCACTGGATAGCTCAAATTTTGCTCAAATATCATGCATTTGAGATAAAGTATTTCAACTTAGGTTTTTCCTAGGCACGGTGGCAGCTTGAGGTACAGGCCGTGCACTTGATTTTGAAAATTTGCGATTTCTTCGTAATTGGTTGGCCTTGAGGAAATCTTTTCACTAAGCCTATTTTTTTGGTTCTTCATCAAGTCATGGGCTTGTTTCTCACATATACACACACACAACAACAAAAAAACAGTTCAGTTTTTTGATATTTCACTTTTAGATTTACTATTCAGTCCGAGCACTCAAAAACTGAGCCAAAGGGTGAGCCAGTGTCCATGTCCTTTGAGAGAGAGAGAGGTGGCAAGGTTCAGTGGAGAAGGCTGCTGTCTGTTTGTTTGCTCCCTGTAGTGGAGGTGTTAGACTAAATAAAGGGGCAAAATGCGTGACCAACATTTCCAGGTGATGTATCGAAAAAATATGGGCATTAGATAAGGTAAAATTCCTGGCCCCTATTGCTTGTGGGTCATAGCCTTGGACTGCTGTATAGACCCGCAATGTTGCATGGTCCAGTGTAAAAGATCAGCACTGACCTCCAATGCTATACTCTGACATGGTTAGTAATATGCAGTAGCTAGTTATGCAAATTACTAAAGTGGTTCGCTGAAATAGATAAATCTTTGTGATGAAAAGTAGACACATGTTAAGGTTTAAGCACATGTAATTATAGGCATGCTTGCATACCATTACATTATAGCATGCTACTTAAAATTAACTCAAACGGGACCACATTTTGTGCAACATTTGTAGTTGCATACATGTATAACATTGTTGTTCAACACTTAAAACATGATAACTGCAGAGACGTTCGGGCCATGTAGTGCACTAGATTTCACATGCAAATGCAATGGATGTGTGCAAAACATGACTAACATTTGCTAAAGTGTAGCTAGTGTGTAAATATTATGCCTTAAAAGTGTAAGCCTTGTTTACATAGCCATTCACAATCTCAGGCCATGAACTTTTGCACAAACATGATTATAACATGTTTGGAGTGATTTAGTAGACTAACTCGTTCAATGACCATTACTACTATACTTTAGTAAGTTTATGGAATGAGTTGCTTTCAATGCATTGATCATGTAGTACTTTCAATGCATTGATCATGTAGTATAGTCATTAGAAGTTGGGTACGTACCATTACACCCACTGTACACTAATCATAATATTGTTTCATTTAGATCGTGCATGCTCCATAGTGCATGACTTTTCTACATGGTAGAGCAATGCACTCTACTAATATTTCTACGTGATAGAGCAATGCACTCTACTAATATTTCTACGTGATAGGGCAATGCACTCTATTAAGATATGGGCATCATGCACCTTAGTGCTCCTTACTAGGACACATTGCATACACATTTATGACATGGATGAGATATGCACTTTATTGCATGTGTTATTCATGATGCTTTATTATGTATACGTTGCAAATAAAAAAATGATATTTTTTATTTTTTTATTTTTATATTTTTTCTAGGACTTAGAAAATATGTTATTTGGATTCTTAGTTTTCTTTACGGCTATTCTTGTCTTTTTTTAGTTATAGAGATTTAAGAGGTAGAATTGGAAGTTTAATTTTTTTTTTTTAAATAGATGGATATATATAGGGATTAGCATCGTTGGGTCGGTAAGGATATGTTAAGACTTGTTTTTAAGAGATAAGGGAGAGATAGAGTTTAGTTTGTTATTTTTATTTATTATTCTTTATAAATTTGTATTTAAAGGGGAGAGGTCCCTTCTTTGTAGAGATGCCAAGATGGTGATTGGAAAATAGAGAAAGTAATTTTCTCTTGTGAAAAGATCTTGGGGTGGACTCCCCTCCAAACCCTGAGAGGGTATAATCTCTCAAACCCTTTTTTATTCTTTTAATTTTTTTTAGTTTATTATTTTCGCCGTACATCAATTGGTTTCAGAGCAAAGAAGATCTATCTATCGCAATGCCATCGAAACCTAATCCTGGTACGGATGATCACATGGGACAAATTTTAGAAAATCTAAATGAAGTCGTGGAAGATGTTCGAAGCGATGTTTATGAATTGAATCAGCGGTTGCAACAGCTGGAGAATACTATTATTCAAGAAGAGGGTAATCACAACTATGAATAGTCGACACTAGATTTTTCCATAGAGATGAATCGAGACCCATAACTTACTAGGCGTGTCAATCTTGAATGTGACGATCACATTGTGATGTAAGAACCACGATCTAAGGAGCGTCCAGATGATTTTGATATTCAACTCTATCTTCCCGAGTTTTATGAGGTAACTTGAAAGAGAAATCACGATCGAGCTTGAGACCCCAGTGTTTTACTTCAAGATGACCACAAAGTATTTGATGAATTCGTTTATTGAAGAAAAAGTATCGAAGCGCATGATGGGACTACATCACCAATTATCTAGTTGGCCTCTGAAGGATGTGAACTCGAGGTCGAGTTTCTGCAACCCCAGAAGAATGATGCAAATAAAAAAGTGATATTCTTTAATTTTTTTATTTTTACATTTTCCTTGGACTTAAAGAATATGTTATTTGGATTTTTAGTTTTCTGTAGTGTTATTCTTGTCTTTTCTTAGTTGTAGAGATTTAAGGGGTAGAATTGAAATTTTTTTTTTTTTTAAAAAGATGGATATAGATAGGGATTAGCATGGTTGGATTGGTTAGGATGTGTTAGACTTGTTTTTGAGAGATAAGGGAGAGAGAGCATTTAGTTTGTTATTTTTGTTCATTATTCTTTATAAGTTTGTATTTAGAGGGAAGATGTCCCTTCTTTGTAGAGATGGTGATTGGAAAATAGAGACTTTGGTCTTATGCAAAGATCTTGGGGTGGACTCCTTTGCAGACCCCTGAAGAGGGTATAATCTCTCAAACCCTTATTTTATTTTTTTATTGTTTTTAGTTTATTATTTTTGCCCTACATCAGTATGGGGCATAGTTAAAAGTAAATTCTCCACCTTTCATTGACCTTGCCATCCTTCACCAAGACCCTTTGATCCTGTCTCTTGATGCATTTAACATGATCTACGTCTTGATACTTCTCTCTCTCATTTTTGCTAGTTTGAAGGCATCTCTTTCGCCTTCTCTTCTCTCAATTTAAAGCCTTATTGCCATATTCATCGTAATATTTGCTTGCACACTACAACATGGGGGGCATGACCGGATACCTTGGGGCATTTTTTTGAGGCACTGCCTTCTTTTTTTTTTGGGGCCCCTAGCCTTGGTAGGAATTGAGCCTAAGATGTAGTGTTGCATATTCTCAAGCGCTAACCAATTAATCCCGGACCTTATCATTAATAACTACTTTCACTTTTTTGATTAATTCATCTATGGAGGAGCATGTTTTTTTGTTTCACTAGTAGCAACATCGTTTTATGTTTTGTGGTGTTCTCCAAATAAACGGGTTGTGAAACGAGAAATAATTTTTTACTTGGCTAGTGTGGATCATGCTGTGGCCCAAAGCATACTTTGTCATTCTACTGAGCAGCTCATCCAAACAGGGCCTTATGGCACTCTTGGAAGTTACATATTAGATATCTCTTGGATGTTTTAGAAACTAGTGTTTTTGTTGGATGGGATTTCTTTTCTAACTCAGATTTATTATGCCTTTTACTCATTCTACATTCGTCCTGGTTTCCCTTAAACAGACATTTTCCCAGCATTCAGTACTTTCAGAATTATTTTTGGAGTACATAGTATCTGAACTCAACAACCATACACCAGACCAAGGAGGTGATTCTGAGAAAGGAGATTCTGTCAGGCACTTGGCTGAAGTCTGTAATGATGACGAGATTCCACAGGCTGCTATTCTTGCACTTACTGCTTTCTTCAGGTATGTGTATTTTAGGCTTGATTATAACTTATTGTATGCTTTGCATATTTTGTAATTCCCTTTAATATATTTTTATTTTTGGCATTTCAGAGGTGGTGGGAAAACTGGGAGAAGAACGGTGGAACAGAGTTATGCTGCCGTGCTTTGTGCACTAATTCTCCAATTAGGAAATTGTCATGGGTGGGCAGAAACTGGTCAACAACATTCACTTAGGTAAATCAATGAGAGTCATTTTGAAGATAAGTTTGCATATTTTATCTAATTACAAAGTCCAATAATTTTTCAGTGTTTTGGAACTCGGCTCAGGCCACTCAGCCCTAGCCTAAGCCAAGTTATCTGGCAAGTCCGAGTGGACTCACTCGAATAGTGTACAGGGACAAAAAGCCTTATATAAAAAAAATCGTTCAAAAGAAAAAAATAAAAATAAACTAATCCAAAAACAACATAAGAATCCAAATAAGCTGAACTAAAATATATAAGAATGGATTTAGAAAAATTTGATTTACAGTTGGAGATATTTCAGAACAATTTCAAAAAAAAAAAAACAAGAAAAAAAGAAAAATAGGGCATATGACAAGAAGAACTCGCCATTCATTGTCAAAACATCCAAACTACATATACAATACTTATGCATTCATTCCCCATAAAATATAATTTTTATAAATTTTTAATTAACCAAAATTTACCCGAGTACTTGGCTGAGTCTGAGTGGACTCTGTCCCCTTTGTAAACATTGATTTTTCATTCAGCCATATCTCTGTTTCCTTTGTCTCTTTTGTTTGATGGTTGTACTGATTTTTATGAGATAATTACTTTTATGAGTAATCTTTTGTGTCAAAATACCTCGTCCTTTTTTCCTATTCTCTTGTTTATTTAGTCCATCTTGTATGTCAAAACATGATAAAATTGTTTTATGTTTTATATTTGTAGGACTTTGTTGCCTGCTTTTTATTCCTTTTGTGAATGTGTTGGGGATCTTGAAATGGGGAAGGTACCATCCATATTGCTCTATTTTGTCACGTTATAAGTTTTTAAGTTATTTTCAAACAGTATCTGACTAGTTCAAATGCTTTAAGTTTAGATTTTGGCTAGGGATGGAGAACAGATTGAAAATGGAAGGTGGATCAACCTTATAGAAGACTTGGCAAGTTGTGTCGCCATGAAAAGACCTAAAGAGGTACTGATCTAGTCTATAACATAAGCTCACATTGACATATGGTAGTTATGATTGCAATCGCTAGTTGGAAGATACATTATAGGTGTTTCTCTGGATCTGTGCCTGCAGCTGTGAACGATAAGGGAAAGTTTTATTCAAATGATTGTGAGAAATAGCTTAAGAATTTTTTGATGACTTGTTTCATGTCTTTACTTTTTCTACAGTGAACATTCTTCTTTTTGTTGTTATGAGGGGGCTGGGTGTACTTACCCAAAAAAAAAAAGGACAGCCAAAATATGGGGGACTGGGTGTGACTGCATTATCAACTATTTTGGTGAGTTCTATTTTCAGGTTCATCCTATATGTAACATTTTGTCAAAGGCCTTGAATCGTAGCCAAAAGTTCCAGAGAGAAGCCGCTGCAGCAGCATTGTCACAGTTTGTTCGATATAGGTGATTTAAAACTATAGTACTCAATTTCATCGGTTTATGACTGCCTCTTTTTGCCTTTATGTTGTATGTTGACATATTGGGATTCCATTGTTGCCACACTAGGTGGCTGTTTCTTGGATGATAATTTGTGTTAAGACCAATGGAATTCCTTTCAGCTGTATCAGAAGCTTAATAGCAACCAAGTCCCTGATATATATACTCTATTAGGACACCACTAAAAATTTCCTAGTTGAATATAGGCTTAGCATTTTTCTGATTTGCAGTTACTCGGACAAAAAGTGTTACTCGAAGGAATTTTTTTAATATGAAATTTTGTGCTCCCCCCGAAAATCAGTAGATGATTATTTTGAGAAGGAGAGATTTAGATTTTGAGTGCTTTAACACTTGGATCTCACCCTCCAAAAATGGGATGGTCTCTATTCAATCTTGGGATTTTATTTTTTTTCAGGCACGTTTTAAAATTTATTTCTAGGTGATTTGCTCAGTTGAAGGGGGGGTACATCCCCAAATTTTGGGTCCCAAATATACTCCTAGATTAAATTTTACCTGAGGGAATAAATGGAATTCCTTTCAGCTGTAAATTTTGGGGTCCTAAAAATTACTGAGGTTAGGTTTTACCCAAGGGAGTAAACGGAAAATATGCTCCCACTGGAGCACTGAATCTTTTTACTTTTCTGATGCTCATGATGATATCTATAGTTTTGGCTCTAAATTTTTATTCACTCCAAATTGATAGAAGGCATAAAAAATTGTTGAAACCTAGATAAGGTGTCCGTATGAAATTTAGTGTATTTGTATGATATTGAGTTGATAGTGGGAGTATTTTACTCATTTTACTGATTTTAGAGTTCGTCAATAATGTAATGCTTTGTTTTGGAACTGCCCCTTGCATGTCATTGATTTATGACCATTGATCATGCAGTGATGGGTCTGGCTCTTTATTGGAGCATCTTGTAGAAGTTCTCTGTTTACATGTTGCAGATGAGTCAGCAACAGCAAGGCGTCTATGTTTGGTGGGGCTGGTGCAGGTCAAATTCCTTTGCATGCTGTATTCACCAAGGAACATTTTTTTGTATTTATTGCATTTATTACCAACCGAAGTTCTTTTTTGGGATATTCTTCATGTGCATTTGAAACTAGTAAATGGTAAAAGATTAAGATCTCTTTGCCATAATTGTCAAATGACTAAAGTCCTTGGTGTAATCCTGGAAACAAATGAAAGAAAGAGCAACTTATTTCTGAAGTCTCTGTTACTTGGTAATTTCCTACATGTAACTTTGGAGTAAACCGCCACATGTACTCTACTGCTTGTCACAAATCAGAGAGAAACATTCTGAAAATATTCAAAAAGTTATTTGGTTGTAATATGCCTTAAGATCTTGAACTTCATAGTAAGTGAGCACAATATTTTAGGCGCAAAATGCCGGACAGAAAATGTATCTTTCGATATTTATTGTTAAAAATTCTTTTTGTTTTGCTCATGACGCTTCTCTCCCCAATGTTTACTACTAATCTTGGTTGGAACTTTTAGGACGTGTTTGATAACAGGAAGTTAGGGGGAGGAAGAAGGAACTTCCCCATTACTGTACAAGTTCTGTGTTGATGCATGGAGCTTACACAGTAAAGAAGCTCCACCTAGAACTTCCTTACTCCCTTGTGCTTAAAAAAAAAAAGGTTCCATCTAAAATGATGGAACTTAAAATAGGAACTTGGTTCCTCAAAGCCTATTCTACCTCCCTCCTTATATTTATATTTAATATGTTAATGTATATTTGTATTTGTATTATATTATATTATTTTATATATATTGTATAATAGAAATAAATATCAATAAAATAATTTCTTATAATAATAAAAATATATATAAATAAAATAAATATAAAATACACTATATTATATATTATATATTATATTATGTTATATATAATATATTTATTTAAATTATTATTATACATTTGCATTATATTTAATATATTTTATTATATAATGTATTTTATACATATATATATATATATTATTTATGTAATATAATGTATTTTATTATATATTATATAATAAAATAAATATAAAAATATACTATATTATATATTCTATATATAATATATATTTATATAGGGCAGTGATTTCAAGCAACGGTTGTATCATGGTATAATGCAACAATCTTCAAAAACCATGTTAGGGCAATTTGTTTGATCTAAATTTTGAAATATACACTCTTTTCATTCTAATGAATAATTACAAAACAAAAAAAAAATGAAAACGAAACCTAGAAAGTATTTTTTTAGCCCAATTAACATAGGCCATCCATTTTGAAAAGATGTTTAGATCTAGGCCTTAGAAGGGTTTTTTCTTTTCCAATTTTTTTAGATGGTTTTATTACCATTAGATGAACAATATCAAAAAAGAAAAAATGATATTGAATTTGTAAAGGCTAAGATCTTGAAATTCACCAAATGAATGGTCTAGATTCGTTGTTTGAAGGGACTCATTTTGTCCATATCTAGGATTCAAATTGAACTTTTCTTTTGATGGGGATTGATTATTGAGTAGATGAAGAGCGTGTGTACTAAAAATTTTTGGGTACAACACAAATGAC